ATGTGGTGCTGGGGGATCGAACCGCGGTCCCTGATGCTTTGCCAAGCTTGTTCTAAGTAGGTGCTTTAGACCACTGAGCCATCTCTCCAGCCCCCTAATTCTGACTCTTGATAAAAGTATTAGTAAAATAGGTCACTATCACCTGGTTCCCAAGTGTGACTTTATCTTCTTCAATAAAACTCAGTGGCAGCACTTAGCATTGGATATGCTTGGGTGGTTAGGTTTAGAACAGCAAAACAAAGGCCAGTGAGATAGCTCAGCGGACTAAGCACTAAGTACCTGCTTAGGCAAATGCAGGGACTGGGGGTTTGATCCCTGGCACCACATGTCATGCTGGCCCTGTCCCAATGAGACTGGGCGTGGTGGCACATGCCTGTGATCTCAGCACTGGGGAGATCGAAAACGGGAGGATCACTACAAGTCCAAGCTGCATAGCGAGACCCTGTACGATACACATTTAGAAAAACAAACCAACCCCAGCAAGTCACCCGCAGACTCATCCACCTGGGAGGTTGAGGCAGGAAGGTAGAAGGCTGAGCCTCACCTAGGCCGCTTAGGAAGACGGCGAGATACAGTGTTGGAGTTGAAAAGTAAAAAGGGCACAGGCTGTAACTCAGCAGGAAGGAAGGAGTGAAACACTCTTTAAGTTGGTAGTTGGTAGTAACAAGTGTTCCAGGTAATTTCTCCTGGATGCTAAAATGCCAACCTTTATGCCAGACAGTTAGCTTACTTTAGGAGAAAATTATGAGGCCTAACTGAAAGCCCAGTGTGGGCATCTTCGTGAGACCCTATCTTAGTAAATGAGAGGAGGGCTGGGCATATAGCTCAGAACTGACAAAAAGCTCTCAGTGCAGCCTTTTTGGTGACCATGCCTTGTGTTCCTTTTTCTCTTTTTTCTTTTCTTTTTTTTTTTTTTTGTTTTTGAGTCCAGGTCTCACTATGCAGTTCAGGAAGGCCTTGAACTCTCTGTATAGCCCAAGCTGGTCTCAAACTCCATGTTCTTCCTGCTTTAGCCTCTCTAGTGCTGGGATTATAGGCATGTGCTGCCACACCCAGCTGAAGATCCTGTTTATTTATTTATTGAACATTTTATTTATTTGTTTGATACAGGGTCTTCACACAGCTCAGACTAGTGATCCTTCTGTCTCAGCTTCCCCAGCGCTGGGGTTACAGGTGTCAGCCACAACGCCAGATTTCAGGGCCAGCACAGCATGGAGTACTGGGGATTGAACTTGGATCCTTGTGCTTGCCAGGCAGGCACTTAGACCACTGAGCCATCTCACCAGCCTTAAGTTTCTTTTTAACAAACATGTCATTGTAGGTTGTATAGACACTTCTCCTACAGGAGGTTCTCTCATTGCTAAGACAGGAATTGTATGGAGCACACACATTACAATATTCAGAACAAAGGAAACTCCACCTTGATGGCTTTTTGTCTGCATAACTTCCATGCAGGGCTGTCTTGTGTAAGAGAACTGGAACCTACAGCGCTGCTCCATGTAGGCAGCGAAAGGTGCCACATGGTGTGAGCAAAGCACATGTGTAGAAGGAGTTGCAGCACAGGGTCTAGAGAGACTGCAGAGCTGCACTGGGCCGCGTGGCTGGTCGCCATTCTGCTGGGCCCGTCTCAGCTCCACTGTGAACTGAGCAGCTGATGGCTGCCCCTCACAGCCAGGGCAGGGCCAGCAAGGCCTGGTATGTGCTGCTAGGACCTCTGTCTTTTCTCATTAGGCGGGAGCGCTTTGTGGGTCAGAATGAAGGGAAGAAAGCACGGCCGACAGCACGAAGAGAGGACCCCAGCTTTGAGAGATACCCCAAGAATTTCAGTGACTCGAGAAGAAACGAGCCGCCTCCACGGAATGAGCTGAGAGACCCGGACAGAAGGGATGTGCGCGGGGAGCGGGATGAGAGGAGGGCTGTGCTCCTTCATGACAGGCCTGACCTGGCACCCCCAAGACACACCCGAGAGGCTGGGCCCGCCCCCTCCAGACCCACTTCCTGGAAGGGTGAGGGGGCGCTGGCTGGTGACAAGCGGGACGCCAGGTGCGTGGTCTTTGGGCTTGTGGGGTGTGCTGGGCAGGGCCTCTAGCTGAGTGTGAAGGGGTGGTCATACGGGCCCTGTGTCCTCCTGCAGAGTGGACAGGCCAGAGCGCTCCAGCAGGGATGTGTCTGGACATGGTGTGCGAGGCGGTCCCCCAGGGAGTCGCAGCACTGCCTCAGGTTACGGTGGCAGAGAGAGCGACCGAGGTGTCCTCGCAGACAGGGGCAGCGGAGCCCAGGTAAGCCCCAGGCAGAAGGGCTGTGTCCTGTCCCGTGCAGTGCCGTATGCACATGTGCCCGGTTTTCCTCTGTGGGTGGATAAGTGGGTCAGAACTGCCTTGGAGCTTCTTTCCCTTCCGGTAGCTCCTTGAGAACTGTCCCATTTGGGGTGTGACCTTTCCTACTAGGGCCCAGGTGTGGTGGCACTAGGAGTGAGAGTCCCATTTAAAATACCCTAATGAAATACTGTCATACTAGTGACAGCAGCACCAACAGAAAATAGTTCTGTGAGTTTCATACCAAGAAGAACTGACGTCGGTCTGCGTTGTGCCTGGGCTTGGCTTCCTAGGGCATTTCTGACTACAGAGCCTTTCCAGTCTTTTGCATCTAGTCTTCAGCAGCAATGCGATGGGTGTCATTGCATCCCACAACTCGGGAGACACACACAGGCTTGGGCCAGTTCTGTGCCAGCTCACTGCCCAGAGGGGCTTGCTGCAGCAGAGGCACCTGAGACTGTCCGTCCGTCTGGCACCTATGGGCACGTCGGCCTCTGTGCTATTAGCCTGTGCCGTGGCTTTTGTCCTGTGCACAGCCCTCTGCTTTGCAGAGGCAGAGATGGAGCGCCTGCTAACCACCATCCTCCATACTGCACAAAACAATGACTGGGTTTTGTTTTGTTTTATTGTTGGAGGGCTTTTCATTTTGTTTTATTTTGTGGTATTGGAGATTGAACCCAGGAAGGCCTTTGCAAGAACTGCCTCTCCAGTTCATTTGAGTTTTTTTATTTAGAGATGGGTTCTCGCTAGGCTGCCCATTTCGGTTTCATCCATGATGGACGCAGTAGGGTCTCAAGCCCGAGGAGCCGCTCCCACAGCAGTCAGGAGCTGAGTCCTTGGTGACTCTTTGCTGTGCTGCTGGTTGCCCCTCATGTCTAGCCAGCAGGCGGCTGTGGTATCCTGACTTCCACATACTCTTCCCATAGCACTACCCCGAGGAGCGACATGTGGTCGATCGCCATGGACGGGATGCAAGCGGACCAAGGAAAGAGTGGCACGGTCCACCTTCTCAGGGGCCTGGCTACCATGACACACGGCGGATGGGAGATGGCCGGGCAGGCGCAGGCATGATGGGCCAGCACTCGAGGTGAGGGGCAGGCAGGAAGCCGGGTCAGCATGTACCCTGCCAGGCTGCCTGCCGCAGCAATACTACACTGTGCTGAGGGCAGGGAGGGGTGGGCCACCTCGCCAAGAGATATGTTGGGCCTCCGCCACCCTCTTAGTTTGGATTCCTCACTGAGAGGGAGTTGTCTGTGTGTCTTGACCAGCTGCCCCAGGCGCACACCTCCTAGTGGGACCTTGTCCTCTCAGTGGCAAGTGTCCCACAGTGCTAAGGAGGGAGGCGGGGGGTTAGGGATGGAGGGATGGCAATGCATCCATTTCCTTCCTTTGGTGAGTGGCCTGCTGAGCTGTGGGCATCTGACCTAGGTTTGTCCTGTGCTGAGGTGCAGGTTATCCCCAGGGCCCTGTGCACACCAGTGTCACCACTTCCTTCCCCAATACTGCAGGTGCTGTAGGCTGGGCTGGGTGACCTGGGCATTTCATGCCCATGGTCACATGACTGTAACCTCACCTGCACAGGAAGCTGAGACAGCAGGGTCACAACTGAGGTCCAGCGCCAGCACTTCCGCCTTTACTGCGTGCTCTGCTGTGGCTTTAGAGCTCATCAGCGCTCTTCAGCTCTCTGGCTTCAGGTTAGGCTTTGCTTCACAAGCTTGCTTTTCCTCACTTGGAAATAGCTGTCATTTTTGAGGACACTGAGCATCCCTGCCTGCTTCATTTCTGTTGCTGGCTCTTGCAGGCGCTGGGCCTGGATGGCACTTTTCTTTATAACTCTGTGGCTTGCTCTACATGAAGCCTGCTATCTGCACCAGCTCAGAGTCACGCTTGGCTCCCTTCTCCCCATGGGGCCTTCACGGCCCTGCTGTGCCCATGCCAGCCACAAGAGCTTGTGCCTTGGCCTTGGCTTCATTTCACGGCTCCTCGAGAATCTTCCTGAATGCTTACAGTAGTGGCCCCTTCTTTTTGGCTTCTGTAGGATCCTCCCATGTAGGCTTGCCTCTGCCTGAGTTGATACTTCTTTAATGTTTACATGTTGAGGCGCCTTTTTTTTTTTTTTGGTATTTTAGGAAGGGTCTACAGGGTATTCAGGATCTCACTACTAGACCGGACTCGTAGTGATCCGCCTGTTCACAGCCTCCAAAGAGCTAGGATTACAGGGGCACCACCATGCCCAGTCTCAATTGCTGTCTCAGTGAGCCCTGGGGGCGGGGCTGGCACAGGCATGGCAGGCCCGGGACTGAACTTCAACCTGTGTCTGCTTGCAGGCGCTTTAATCTGCTGAGCTATTTGGCTGGCCTTGAGGCTCCTATGTTATTAAAGCCACAGCAGCCTCTTTAGGGTCTCATCTAGATTCCTGAGCCTGGCATTGATGCTTTTAGGGGGTGTGTGTGTGTGACGAGAGGGAGGGAGAGACAGACCATATGGCCTGGACCCCCTAGGGTCGTGGTCCTCCTGTTCTGTCTCAGTCTCCAAGGGCCACTACAGGTGTGTGCCATCATAGCCAGCTTTGCTACAGGACATTCCAGGATCACTTCTCAAATGAGTCCTTGTCCACCTGGCAGGCCGGCAGGTTCCACAGCGCAGGGTGCTATGTTCCTAAAGTGCTGGGGAGTTTGCGTTTCTGACTGGCTTCTCTTTGGCACCCAGGCTGTCTACCTGGGGTCCAGGCCTGTGCTGCCCATCAGATGGAAGAAGGGGCTGCTGTGGCTCACAGCCTGCTTGCCTATACTGCCACCCGCTGACCGGGCAGGGCAGGGCAGGGCAGGGCAGGGCGCAGTGCTCAGCCTCTGGGCTTGGTTTCCTCTGGGTAGCAGGGCCTGTGGAAAGTCGGCGCCATGGAGGTCTTTGCTGTGATAACTTCTCCTTCATTGTCTTGATACATTTTTCTTTTGATCCTTTTCAGTAATGCCTCTCCAATCAGCAGACTCGTACAGATCGGGGGCAGCTCCATGCCGAGGGGAAGTGGCTCTGGATTTAAACCGTTTAAGGGGGGCCCTCCCCGGCGCTTCTGAACCCAAGAGCGTCACTGCGGTGTCAAGATAATTTATTGAAATCTCCTATAAACTTTATTTGTTTAAGAAGAGGACCCTCAGGCTTGCTTGAGAGTCCTGTCAGACTTATTTTCTTTTTTAAAAAATTTAACATGATTGCTTTTCTCAATTTTAGAGAAGATGTTTAAATAGTTCTGTTGTAATTTTTAATAGTTTTGTGTACTGTTGACCTTTGGTTTCTTGCAGCACCAATACACAGTTGAGAAGGTTGGCCTGCAGCCCCCCCCCCCCCCCAGAGCTGCGCGGTCGTGGGCGCGTCCCATTCACCCCGGGGTTATTCCTGTCACTGAGCATTTCAGCCTCCATGTTGAAGGCTAAGCTTAGAAAGTCTGCTTTTAGAGATAAGATGTTCCTTGCATTTCTGAGTATTACGTAACCTATTTTTGCAGAAGGTACTGTTACATCAAGTGCATCTGTGTAACCTGGTTAAAATTGTAATCTTTTTTGAAATAAACCTTCATATTCTGTATAGTTGCTGAAGTGTAGAGCACCTTTTTCTAAGTCGAGAGAGACAGACAGACATGGCTGCCACCCCGAGGCAGCCTTTCTAAAGTGCAGCCTGACCAGGTAAGCTCTTGAGTGTCACTTCTTCCCTGAAATCGCCTCAAACCAGGAATGGCGCCGCCCTGGGGCCAGGTGTCCCCAGGAGGGCAGTGGCCTGTGTGTGAATGTTGGGGGAGCTGGACTTGCGTGAGTGCCAGCGTCCCCAGATGGCTCGGGCTGCCTTCAGCCAGTCTGTTAACAACAGGACAGAGGCTGTACATTTTTCCTCGTGCTGCCATGGTTCCGCTGTCATCCTCTGAAAGCCCGGCAGGTTCCTGCAGCCCCAGCAGCTTGTGAACAGCCCAGATGAGGACATTGTTGTCCTGGTTTGAGCAAGACTGAGGCTGGGAGCTACATGTGCCGCGGTCGCGGTCGTGGTGAAGGAAGGTGAAGGCATGGGGGTGAAAGCCCCTGGGCCCTGAGTACCTTTGCAGCCTGGAGGCCAGCCCCCCCCACCACTGTGGTGGTTTCAGGGGAGGGCAGGCAGGGGAAAAGTAGCTTCATGAAGATTATTAGGGTGCAGTGCATGTAGCAGTCTGTCCCGAGGAAAGTATGTATGTCCCACAACACACTGGTGATGGTGCAGAAGGCCGGCCTGTTGCTGAGGGTGTCGCAACCATCGTCCAGCCCTGCAGAGTCCCCCATGCCTTGCTTTCCAGCCCTCACTGCCCTCTGTTAACTGGTATTTTTTTCTTTACATGTATTTGGTACAGGGTCTCACTATGTAGCTTGGACTTGTAGTGATCCTCCTGTCTCAGCCTCCCCAGTGCCAGGATTACAGGCAAGCGCCACCATGCCAGGTCTTGGTGCCCACACCTCAGTGCACCTGGGGCGTACCCAGGACTGAACCCCAGTCCCTGCGCTTGCCTAAGCAGGTGCTTAGTCTGCTGAGCTATCTTGACGGCGTTTCAAATGGTGTTCTTTTAGCAACTGGTGAACCAATTGTCAAATGTGACATTTGAGTCACTTTTTTTTTTTCCCCAGGAAGATCACTATGAGTCGGAGCTGCGTAGAGACCCAATACCAAATAACATTTTTTTAAAAAGCACCAGTTGACCAGAGATGGAACTCTGAACCTTGCGCTTGCCAGGCAGGCACTTACGCCACTAGCTGTGTCTCCAGACCTTAGGTTACTCCTTACGTTACTTTTTTGTGGTGGTGTTGTCGTTGTTCTGAGACAGGGTCTCACCAGGCAGTTTAAACTAGGCTCCCAAGTGCTGGGATTACAGGTATATACTACCACGAGTGGCTAGGGTTACTTTCTGAATAGGTGAAACAAGTCAGTTCACAAAGCCAAGGTCTGGTGGTTGGCTTCCAGGATAAATTTCTTAATTCAGGGCATACATATATTTTTATACCACATTTGGAGGGTTTACTTGACATTGCTGAGAGCTTCAACAACCACAAATAAATGATGCAAACTGGTCATCAATTGTCATGCATTCAGGTGGTGTGTAAATTGTTTAACAGTTTGAAATAAAGCTTTCAAAAAATGAGTGCATTGCCTTCTGGGTGGCCACTGCCTACAATCCTAATACTCTGGAGGCTGAGGCAGGAGGATCGCTGCTAGCTTGAGGCCAGCTTGAGCTGCATAGCGAGACCCTGTCTCAAAGACCAAAAAAAAAAAAAGCATAACCAGAGGGGTGAAACTCGCCTGGTGCTCCCTTGCCCCACACATACACACCTCGCTGTTGCCACACTGAGTAGGTGAGCGCAGCTGCGATGTTTGCATTAGGCAGGTACTGTAGGGCGTTCGATGCAGCGTGCACAGCCAGCCGCAGTCCTCAGTCCTTTCTCAGCACTTTTCCCCACCACGCGTATCTGTTCTCTCTCCTCACTAGAACAAACTTGCAGGGCAGCACGTTTTTTGCGTTTGTCATCTTCTCTGCGGTATCTCAAGCACTTGCATTTGGCAGCCACTGGCCGAGCCTACAGCCCAGGGGTGGGAGCTGGCACTGTTTGCTGCAGAGCATTGGATCACAGCAAACTAACTGGTAAACAGATTAACACAATTGAATAATCAGTAGGTTACAGAAGAAATTGGGTAAGCAGTAAGGCGGTTCAAGAGCTAAGCAATAAAGCTGGCGCAGCACTGAAACCATGGACACTCAGAGCTATTCTGACGGGGAGGTGTGCAGCTGTGAATGCCCACACCACAAAAACGAGTGAGCCCAAATACATAATCCAACAACTCACGACCAGTTTATAGAACAGGAACAATCTAAATCTGAGTCTAGTCCAAGGAAGAAAATGAAAAAGGTCGAAGTTCAAAGTAGCCAGGCATGGTGGCGCACCCCGTAATCTTAGCACCTGGGATGCTGAGGCAGGAGGGTCACTGCAAGTTTGAGGACAGCCTAGGCCACATAGTGAGTCCAAGTCCTGCTTGAATTACACAGCAAGACTTTGTCTCAAAAATCAAAACAACCACCTACCAAGAAAAATCCAGATCCTGATAGACTGACTGCTGAATTGTACAGCCTCAGAGAAGATTGACACCATTATCCTCAGACTCTTTAATGTGCACTGACCGTCATTCCTGGAAGTAGAAGCATTCTGATTCCAAAACCAGGCAAAGGCCCAACAACAACAGTAGGCCGTCCACATGCAGATGCTGTTAGTGGGATATCCGGAAACAGAAGCAACACATCTTCATGGAGATTATAGGTGTGACCAAGTGGGCTTCGCTCCAGGGATGCAAGGCCGGTCCAGCACACCAAGTCAGTAAGTGCCACACATCACATAAGCAAGGGAAACCACATGATCATCTCAACAGGTGCAGAAAAACCCTTCATGGAAGCCAACATCTGTGATAAAAATAGAAGAAAACAGACAGAAGAAATTTAAGGGCCAGCCTGATAGCTCAGCTGACTAAAGTGCCTGCTTAGGCAGAGCACAGCAGCTGGGGTTTGATCCCTGGCAAGCTGTGCTGGCCCTGCCTGAGGGGTGTGCTGAGATGGCAATTGAGACTGGGCATGGTGGTGCACTGCTGTAATCCCAGCACTTGGGAGGCTGAAAAAAGGATCACTATGAGTCCGAGCTGTGTAGTGAGACCTTGTAGACCCTGTCCTAAATACAGAAAAGAAAATATGATACAAACATGACAAATCTGCCAACATCATACTAAATGGGGAAAAACTGAAAACTTTCCTTCCACCCACTGCTCAGTATCAAGAAAACGTTCAGAGAAATGTCACTTAGGAGAGATCTGGCTCAGTGGTGCAGCTTTTGTCCTGCACAAGGTCCTGGGTTCAGTCACCCCACTGCAACAAAAAACGCATCTAAGTGATTAGGTGGATGAATCATGGCTGTCTCACTGGCGTCATCCTCCAACCTCGAGCAGAACTCATGGCCAGAAGGCGACCAGAGCCCTTTTATACCACCCGGTTCAGCACAGTACCTGGAAGAGCAAGAGCAAGCAGGCAGGTAAAAAATGGGCCACACAGAGGAAAGGAAGTTGGCTTGCTGCATGCAGATCATGAACTGCACAGAAGACCCCAAATTCCCCCGAAGACTGCTAGTTAGAAACCTAATTCAGTGCAGCAGGATACATACAAAATCACACAAAAATCAACTGCATTCCTATATAGCAATACCTATACAGCAATAACTCACCAGGAAAGAAACGGGGGGTGGGGGGACAGATCATGACAGCACCAAGAAAAAGCAGGCATTTAGAAGGTAACCCGGGATGAGGTGATTGATCTCTGCAGCAGAGCTCCAGGGCTCTGAGGCAGAGGGGGGCATCTCCTGTTGTGACAGGCTGAACTGATGCAGTCACAGAGGCCACATGTCCGAAAGAGATACACAGACTTAATCCCAATCAAAATATGCACAGCATCCTTCACAAAACCAGAGAATCCTAAAAATGTATGTGGAACCAGGAGAGTAAAAGCAATCCCGCACAAGAGCACAGTGGGGACATCACAAGCTCACGTTGAGTCATATTACAAAACTGCAGTGGTTAAGACAGCAGGGAATTGGAACAAAATGACACATTAGCCAATGCAAAAGAATACTCAGAAGCACCCCAAGCACGTTCAACTATTTGGTCTTTGACAGAAGCCCAAAGCACACACTCAAAGAAAGCCTCTAACAGATGTTGAGAAAGCTGGCTTCCCACATGCAGAAGATTGAATCTAAACCCATATCTCTCACCATGCACTAAACTAAAGTCAAAACGAGCCAAAGATCTAACTATTAGACTAGAACCTGCTGGAAGGTAAAATAGGTCAAACTGCTGGCGTCTTGTGAGCATGGTCATTCTGCAGAGTCCTGGTTGCACAGGCGCTAGTGCCAAGAACCAACACATGGGAGCACGGTAAAATTAAAATAATGTGCACAGCACAGGAAACAGCCAGCAGAATGAAGAGACAAGTACAGAATGAGAAAAACCTTGCCAGTATTTCTTAGAGGAATAATACATTCGACATAGGAAGAACTCAGAAAAAATTAGACCCCTCCAAAATAAAAATCCCAATCAAAAAATAAGGGCAATGAACAGCCATTTCTCACAGAACTAGGATGGGCTGACAACATATGTGTAAAACATGCACCACCTCTGGCCACTGGAGAAATGAAAACATCGAGGGCATCCTGCCTCAGAAAGAACGGCCACATCCAGAAGTTCAGTAATAGTGAGTGCTGGCGAGGCTGCAGAGCAGGCGCGCTGCACCGTCACTGGGAATGCAAGCCAGCACAGCCATGATGAAATCAGTGTGCACGCCTCAAAAACGAAATAGAGACTCTGTTTGGCCCAGCTATTCCCCCCAGAGCCAATGTCATGTTACAGGGACACATACACACCCGTGTTCACAACGGCACAGCTCCCAGGAGCTAAGCAGCCTGTGTGTCCACGAGCAGCAAAGGGGAAAAAGGAAGCACGCACTGCGTGCAGCAGGTGCTCTGCTGGGAGGTGGTGGGTCTGAGGTGTC